GTTAACAACAAAACACTTGCCTTTTCCAGCAGCCATTGTACAGCGGTAAAACCAGCTGACCAAACATGCTAGAGCTCTGCTTGGGTTGGGCTTCAGCAGGGTTGCAAACCCCTCAGTAGATGTGTTTCTCAGAGAAATACAGTAATTTTGAATCCTCAAAGGCTTTTTAAAGACACTTAAGAAGGTGAACATTTGTTTACATTTTAGAAAATTAATGGCTCATTATGAGTAATTTAATGAAATCCATCAGATCTGCACATAACTTCCCATACAATGGAAACTTACAAAAGGAGAAAGTTACTCTGTTTTTAGCAAATCCACATTTATAGATATTTTATTTGAAAATATTTAGTCAAATCAACCTTGAAACTTATGTTTTTATGCCATGTGTCTATTTTTTTCAGAAAAAAGCAAACACTTTTATTTACTGGAACAACTTGGAATTATAATCACTAATAAAACCTACTGTAAGAGCTACAGCAGTAGGAGTTCAGTAAAAGAGAAGGTTGCACAGACCTTTCTGCAGGGCTAATGGACAGAAACATCTCTGAACACAACTAATGCTGGTTTAATGTTACATAAAAAATAGAAAAAAACATTTAATGCCCACACATACAGTCACAAACAGAAATGTACACAACTCTGGACTCTGATTGATGAGTTTGACCTGAATGTTCATGTCTCCACTGCCTCAAGCTAAAAGTGAGCATGTGCATAAACACACACATTCAAAATATTCAAAGATTATCGCAAGTATGCATGCATATGCCCAGTGACACAACCATCCATTGTTTCATCTGCTTAGCATGTGTTTATGTAATAATACTGTATGTGTGTCCTTGTAGTAATGCAGTAAAGCTGATTTATTCATACATTTTTTGCATGTTTTTCAGAAGCTAGTTGTCACAATAGAAAGACATATTTATACTTTCACAGGAAACGTAATAACAAAATGTTATGATAGGTTTTCTTAAGCTACACTAGATTGCCCTGCTTTATAGACTTTATAGACAACACTAAATGGTAATTATTTACCATTTAGTAAACCCTTTGGTTTTGGAAATGTGACATTTCCAAAACCAAAGGGTTTCCCCGAGTGCACTATAAGCCTGGCGGGCCATCAGGCTTTACTTATGCCCCCACCAGGCTTAGCGTTGTTTATTTATTTTAGTTTCTTTTAATTATTGCCTTTTTTAAAAAAAGACTTTATAGTTGGTGTTTATGTGTTAAACTTTCAGTTTTCCAGTAAAGTATAACTAACAAGTGATATTTACAGATTTTTAAATATGTAAATATATAAATATATATTTTAAATAAATATGTTTTAACTCAGAAACATGGCGGGCGGCTGGATGACTGTTCCAGCACCCCAAGCACCGAGCTCAGCAAGTTTTCTGGGCGAAACCCTGATTCTGAGATATTGCTTTACCAATTTGTGTGCAGCACAAAGAAGGCAGATAAAACAAACTGATATCACATTAGATTAAAACATTACCTTTAAGTTCCTCAGGTAGCTAAACCTGTATAATTCTATATTTAAAAAAAACTATTTTTGTTTTGCATTATGTAAGGCAGAGGTTCCCAAACTGTGGGGCGAGCCCCCCTAGGGGGGCGCGGGAAGCCATCTGAATTAAAACAAAAAACAAAAAAACAAAACATGAACACTGTATGCGCTGGGTTTTTACCTTAGAATGACCAACTCTGATATTCCTATGTCAATTTGATACAGTAGAGGCTTCCACACTTCCCATATTTGTGTCCTCTGTCACTTTTATCAGCAGTTAAAACTGTTTAATCCGTTGTTAACATGTTGTAACCTGTTTTTCCGAGCCGCCTTTAAACGCAACATGAGTGCTACGACGCTCGGGCTGGGTTTCCACCTGTGAAGGAGACCTGCTGCTGCTGTGGAGCTACGTAGGTTTGTGTTAGAATCACGGCAGCAAACCAGCAAAACGCAAAGAACTTTTCAGTTTTTCCCTCCAAACTAACCGACTGAGTTGAGTAAAGCTGTTGGATGCAGGTAATGTTAGCTAAAAGATGACCAGCTAATATCAATACAGCACCTTAAGTTTAACAAGTAGCTTGAAGGCTACTGGTGTTGTTGTTTATGTCCAGCTACGTACAGTCATTTTGCCCCCCAAAAAGTCGATTCCCCCCGCCAGCTCCCCCCCACACACACACTTCGTTCAACCAGACAGCTACTTGTAATCCATAGGGGGGACCCAAAAAATGTTTGGAAACCACTGGGGGGGCACAGGAGAAAAAGTTTGGGAACCACTGATGTAAGGGATGTTGCAATATGTCCATTTTTTTACTTTAACTCTGGAATTCTACTTGGGTTGTTAGGCTTGGCTTGGCTGGGGTTGCTAGGTAACGGGCTGGGCTTGGCTGGGGTTGCTAGGTAACGGGCTGGGCTTGGCTGGGGTTGCTAGGTAACGGCACAATGCCAGTAGGTTGAGAATTAACATTTGGAAGGTTTTTGAAAAGGCTTATTTTCCAGACACCAAAAAATATTAATTTATTGAAAGTAAACTGTACTTTTGCACACTTGGGCTGATTTCAGAAGCAGTTAAGATCCAAATGGAAGTACAAAAACATGCAAAATGCTAATACTGTATAACAGATCCACTTTGAAATTAGCCTCTTACAGCTAACGTTAACTGGTAAATTTAACATATGAAGATCATTTGGTGAACTTGAACAACTCAAAGCAAGCCTGACCTGTCCCAAATTCATATAAATTTAACGGTTAAAGGTGAATATACGTTTCTCTCTCTAACGTTCGGTTCTTTAGCCTCCCATAAGAGCTAGATGGCATAATTTTAAATAGTACCCAAACAAAAGTAAATAATTATTTTCACTTTCACATTACCATTACCTTTTAGCAATTCCACTATCAGGGTTGTGTATGGTTAAACTACAGTGTCCACATTTGCAGTAATGAAGGAAGATGTTACAGAGCAGCAGCGTCGCTCTTTGATGTTTTAATTGTTTTTGGACAACAATAGGTTTATGCCACCGGGTACAAACTCTCCCAGGAACCGCAGACACTTAAGAGGAGGCTGAATTCTCAGTTGGATACAGACTTTTCACGGCATTTGTTCACAATGAGGACTCTATTCACATTCGTACATATTTTATATATGGCTATAATAAGTCAAATTTTCAGGTTCCTGTTCGGATGGAGCATTGTTCTCTCTCAGATCAGAAAATGAGCCACAGGCGAGTCAGAGTGAGTGTTAACAAGAGGAGTAGCAGCCACTTCCAGCGCTGCAGCGGCCCGCCCGCTGCAGCCAGCAGTGGGCGAATATTCATCCCTGCGCTCATAATCATGTTGACTTCATCCAAGGGGTTGTTCTTCTGACCTGCAGGGCCTCAGGGGAGCTACCATGCAGCGGCTTGTTTGGATCATTTGAGCTACAACGAGGGGGGTGTGCATATATACAGCACATAATTTATATACGAGTTATGTCCATTGGGGAAAATATTTCTTTGGTCTTCCCCACTGTGTTTAAACTAAAGTTTTAAGCTCTTGAAGCAAATGTTTACGTGTCCTGGCAAAAAATTAGAGCTTAATACTTTTCTTTAATTAGCATTTTTATTACCCTGCTGTATGTTTAGGGAGATTTAAAAAGGAACGGATGCAAACATGCTCTCCATGTATCCCAGTTTTTTAGGCAAAAAACTGAGAAAATTACAGGCTCATTATCCAGAAATCAGTTTTTAATTTGAATGAATTGACTTAGGCATAAAATATTACTCAGTGTGTTGCGACTGTGTCATGCAAAGCAGCGATAAAGTGTAATAAAGCAGACATGCCCTATTTCAAACTTTTTTAAAAGAGGAAAGTGTTGCGGTGTAGACACACGCACACACACACACACACCTACACACACACTGATAGCATAGGCGTAGCAGAGAGTAGCAAAGCAGAAAGCGAGAGGAGTGCTCACCATCTTCTCCGTTAAGCCTGGCTGACTAATTCTTGCTGCTAATTTGCGTTTGGTTAATTAACTAATTACTGAGGATGTCTGAGGGCGAGGCTGTCTGTCAGCCTGTATCAGTAATTATTTTCATCGTTTTAATTAGAGTCACACTCCTAGACTCCATTTCTCCCTCCCCACAAAGTGCGCGCACACACACACACACACACACACACACACACACACACACACACACACACACACACAGACTGAAGCATCTGACTCTGTAAACAGTTTGTCACAATCAAGAGAACCAAAAACTTCAGCAATACTCGTGGGACACAGGTTAGAGATATTCTGCAACTATCAGCTTTGATTGATGGTTGACTTGTTTTGTTCTGTCCATCCCATTTGAACTCAGTTCATCTCCAGTTCCTGACCAAGAACCTGAGATACTTAAAAGTGGCCTATTCTGCTTCTTTTAACATGTTAGGTCTACAAGTTTTACAAAACATGTTTTTTTTACACAAAATCATTCATAGATATTGAGATTTTAATCTGCCTATTCATTAAACCCCAATAAGCTCCTGCTGGCCACGCCCCCCAACTCAACGTTTACACTCACATCTGAAAATGGCTACAAACAAATAAGCAATTATACAACCGTACATCTTTGAAAAGCAGAAGTAGCGCCATCTGTACAACCAACAAAAATGCAGCAAGTGGTTTCTCAATGACAAGTCAACAACAAAACACTTATCTTTCCAGCAGCCATTGTACAGTGCATACAGTAATAAAACCAGCTGACCAAACAGGCTAGGCTTCACTAGGGTTGCTAGGTGATGTGCTGCCTGCTAATTTGTGATGTTACTTTCGGAAGGTTTTTGAAACAGCTCCTTTTCCAGACACTGAAAAACATCTGGATGTTTTTTTTTTAAGTGTTTGGGCTGTTTTTAGAAGCAGTAGAAACCCAAATGGAAGTTAAAAAAAATAAACATGCAAAATATGACTTTTGAACTCTTTGAACTCCTTCAAGTGAAGCAGAGACTCACCTCCAACCCACAGGGGGGACTTTACCTTTTGTCAGCCGAGAAACACGATCTCCGACTTGGAGGAGCCGAATCTCATCTAAACTTCGAACAGCTCAGTGTGCACTGAACGACATCCTCCGAAGAAGCCATCAGAACCATGTTATCTGCAAAAGGCAAATATGAGATTTTGCTAAATTCAGTTTATTTACATAGCCTAAACCACAACACATTTTATCTCAAGGCATGCTACAAAAAATAATTCAATCCAAACAATCCTGGTTAGTACAGTTAAATTAAGTTTATTATTCAAATTAAAGGATTTCTCTCTAAGAAAATCCCACAGATTGCATCAAGTCATTCATTCACACTGAGCAAGCACGCAGCGACAGCGAAGAGGAAAACCTTCCTTTGAACGGAAAGTAAACTCCAGCAGAATCTGCCTCAGTCTGACTGGGGGTTTGAGAAGACAGAGCAGATACAGAAAAAGAAACAGCAGCACCTATCCAGCAGAACATTCTACTGAATGTTAGGGAAAAGTCAGAAGATAACTAATGGCTCATTTAGCAGCTTCAAACACCTTTACACTGCAAAAACACAACATCTTACCAAATATTTTTGGCCTAGATTTTAGTTCACTTGAAATAAGATAAATTTAATTTACAAATAAGTTTTCAGCAAGATATTGGATCTTGTTTTAGTCAATAATTCCTTTAAATTGCAGAAAACGCACTAGTTCCGTTGGCAGATTATAACAAGACATTTTCCAATCTTATCAGTGAAATTATCTGCTAGAACTTTTTCAGCTATATTAAGAGATCATTGACTTAAAACAAGCTCCCATATCTTGCTGAAAAGTTGCTTATAAGTTAGTTTTGTCTTATTTTATGTGTAGTTACGATATTTGTACTAGAAAATATACTTGGTAAAATTTTGTGGCTTTGTAGCGTAAAGTGTAAATAAATCCCAAATAAACTGTTTTTTTCTGATAGACTGTCTAAATAGGTCAATAAGCTTAGACCGGAGGAAGGAGAAGAGCATGGTTGGTTAATGTTGTCATGTTTTTCAATTTGTTTTTGTGCCGACTGATTTGTTGACGTGGTTTGACCTTCAGGGCCACCGTACATTACTGTTGTTATTTGCAGAGTTTTTCAGTTTTTGTAAATCGTTTCTCATTTATTGTGTACAAATACTCATGCACATCCTGAACATTTTTCATTTTTAGATGGTCTTATTTAAATATGCATTTCTTTTTATGTTATTTTTGATAACTGTGCAGAATTATTTCCTTTATTTAGATCATAATTTTTTATCTTCTCTCACTAACCTTTCCTTTGCTGCTGTTACACCTTCAATAAATGAAGGTTGTTTATGAAGCACTTTTACAGCAGCCTCAGCTGAGCTAATTGCTTCACAATAATCACATCACAGGTAGATAAAAAATTAAGTTTAATAAAAATAATAAAATCTGCAAAAAAATACAAAATGATATGAATAAAACACAAGACATATTTCATTTCAGCTCCAGTGATTTACCAAAAGAAACTCAAACAGTCTAATCAGTGAGGTGATAATGTCCCTCTTTTTACTGGCGTTGACGGTCAAATAAAGGATATTTCTACTCTGTTCTCACTGCTGTGGTGTTGAAATCCTCGTTTGCTTTTCTGTTGTTTTGATGTTATTTTTCATGCCAAGGCTAAAGTGCCTCATCAGCTTTCTGCTGGGTCAGATGCTGGCAGAGAGAGAGCGGCGGACAGATCTGAAAATACAGAGCAGATCTGCAGCAGAGCGGACGCACAGCAGATTTCAGCCCAAAAAGCCAACTTTAGTAAACAGGCAGAACTAATGAGGACAGTGAATGCACACACACACACACACACACACACACCCACATGCAAAGGAAAAAAAAAAAAACAAACGTCAGTGTCTGAGCATTTGGAGGCCTCAGGGCCCTGAGGCCAGAGCAGCCCAGATACCTGATGGGAGCAGGGACATCAAAGCTGCAGGATTAGAGAGAGGAGAAAGTGCCGCAGGGAGGAAATGCTAACTTATTATCCGCTTCCCAGCTAATCCTGTTATCTACAGAATATAGCTGTGTTTAACCCCCCCCACCCCACTCCCAACACACACACACCTCCCTCCAACAACACACACATACGGTGAACAAGGTTTCGGTATTTGGGGGTTCAGCATCCTCCCACAACGCCCCGTTTCCACACTGGACTTCCAAAAACAAAATCGTCTGCCTCTGCATCTTAGTTGTGAACTTCACCAAATGTCCAACTCCAGCTTTTCCCCCCCCATCTAGATTATAGGACCTGTTTGGTGATTTTTTTTTTTTGTGGGCTTTCAGCTGACGTAACATGGCCGCAGGACGACACGGGTCCACACAGATCAGGGTCACTTCTGGCTCAGTCAGCCACCAAACTGAATATTATTTCAGATTTCTCCTCATTTATTGTTTTTACTCACGTTCACAAACAACATTTAATATGAAACAGTGTTTTAAACCAAGTCACACAGCAGTTAGCTAAGCCCATGTTGAATTTGGGTTAAATCATCAGGTTTAAACTAAACTCAATGAAATCCATTTAAAACTAAATCATACTTTACTTTTTCAACCCTAAAATTAAAAGAAGAAAAAAAGATGACATAAAGCATTTATCAGATTTTATATGTAAAATACACAGGTATGACATGACAATAGTATCCAGTGTCTTCATACAACAAAAATATTTACTGCACATGCACAATTATGTCACATGATAAAATATCCTGCTATTAAGGATTTTATCCTAATTAAATTCAGATTCATTCCAACATAATTCATATTATATTATCATTTATAATACAAAAGATTCAGCTGATTATTTATTGCCAATTGATAAAAAGCCCAGCTGTTTGTACGAGTCACATCTGGTGACAGTAGAGAGGAAAAACTCCCTTTTATTAGAAGAAACCTCCAGTAGAACCAGACTTAGAATGAGCAGACACTTATCAAAGCCGCAAAAAAGATGAAAAAATAATAAAATAGTAGAAATACAAAACCGCTGCATCAGCAGAAGTTCTTCTTATGAGAAAGAAGAATCAAGTTAAACAGCAATAGATCCCAGTGGCTCGGTCCAGGTCAGAGACACAGCTAAACACAACAGAGCTGAACCGGCAGTACTTTCTACTGGAAAGAAAAACAAACAGTACACAAAAATATTGACAAAAATATCTAAATCAGCAGTTCTAATCTTTTCCTACAAGGGAGGAAAAAAATGAATAGTGTATCCAAAGTTAAATTAAACAAAAACACGGTTACTGGCTGCTTCCAAGAAAGAGAAATGGCTAAACACAACCCACTCAGCCAGCTGTAGTTCCTGTAGGATATAACCAAAGAAAGTCTCCAAAGTTAATTTGCAGCAATAGATGCAACTAGAAGACACAACAAAACTAAATAAGCACTTGACAAGAAGTACTTTCTGTAGGAAGTGCTCCTCAGTGTGTCAATGTTTATCATCTGTTTTGAATATATTTTTAAAAAAAATTAACCACCTTACATTTGCTAATTTTAAATTGTTATTTTTTTTACAGCTTGTGTGCTTTTAAAAACATTTTGTAAACAGATAACTGATGCTAACTTACATCTTACATGATATCAGCATCATGTAAGATGATGCCAACATTAACTTACATTAGTCTTAGGGAGCATTCACACCAGCCCTGTTTGGTCCACTTCAATCAAACTCCAGTTCGTTTGGCTAGAAAGTCCGGTTCACTTGGACCAAAAAAGTGAACTCTGTTCCGCCTTGCAGCCTGGGTCTCAGTGCGGTTGAAGTGAGCTCTGGTGCAGTTTCAATAAATATGTGACAATTCCAAAAGCAGGAAGCAGACTACAGCGCAGGGTATTCTGCGTAAATAGACTCACGTCTCCAGCATTAGGGCCTGAAATGGTTCATGGTCAAAGACAGAAGAGAAATCCTGCAACCGGTAAATTTTCTTTTTCTTACATTTCGTGAAGAAGGAAGTTGTGCTCATGTCTTCTTCAGGGTTTTTTTTGTGTCGTTTTCTTCATTAGTTCTTTGTGCAGCGCCACCACAGGCAAGGAGGGGAACAGGTTTTTCAAAGGGTTTGGTTTGTTTGGCATAGTGCAGCATAAATGCACTAGCTGAAAATGTAGCAAATGTTGCAATTTGGTCCAAAATCGAAGCGAGTCTGCCAGACTGTCAGATGTGGAAACACACTTAATCTGTACCAACCAGATGGCCCTGCTCTTTGTGGGTTTAGGTGATTAAAAGTTCCTTCAGACGTCACCTGTGGTTTCTCAAGAAATTGGTTGCATCAGAAACTTGTGGCATTATCTAACCTTTAAGTGGTACATGTAAACTTTCTCTTATTTGTATGCAATTAACAAAACAACTAATAACTCATCCTTTGAGGAAGTAACATCTTTTGCTTGGTTCAAACTTCCCAGCATCAGCTGATTTGCATAATTGTTTATTGAATATTTTCACTATACATCAGTTTTAGCACTAAAAACAAATTTACAGTGAACAAAATAGAGAAATTAAACCATATTTTTTGTCACAAATTGTCTCGATGGAGGCAAACATTTGACACTGAGGTGCTCTGAACGTTAATTTATTGCAGCTTCAAGGGTTTACTTCAAGCCACAATTAGCTCATTGTCATCTTTGACCATAACACCTGTAAAATAAAGAGTGGGAGAAATTAAAGAGGGAGAAGATGAAAAAGAGAGCTCCTTGCAGATAATGTTTGTTTGAACAGAAGTAGAAAAAGAATATGAACTAATACATGTAGATGAAGTGAAATTGTCATTAGGCTAATCAACACTAAACTAATTGGGAGTCATGGACCCTCCTATCTACTAATTCTAACCCTAAACCCCAGCCTATATCTGCAAGCAAATGGAGGAGGAGAGAGGATGAAAAGTGGAGGGAAAGAGCTGAAAATGAGAGCGAGGTATAGAGAGGAAGAGGGAGATGAAGCCTAATTAAGAGTGCTGGGATTTATGCAAATGAGACGGTGCTGATATGGTAATCAGAGCCTGCAGGGCCGTAACAGGCTGTGTGCTGTATGTGTGTGAGTGTATCTAAGAGGCTGACAGCTGGCTGTGAGGAAGGTCAGAGCCAATCAGGCTCTTACTCTAATGCACACTGCCC